CCTATCCCCGTCCTCTCTCCCCCCTCCTCCTCCTCCTCCTCCTCCTCCTCCTCCTCCTCTTCCCTGTCTATGGGTGTTGAAATCTTGGCAAGGTACATGTTCGAAGATGTGGTTGGGAGGTGAGGTGAACAATTATACAAACAAAACCAAAGTTCATCCGTCCAGCCCCAGGAATAAAGCCAAAGCACCCCAGCCATCAGCACCTCCTGATTCCCCCAACTGCCACCATGCTGGAATCAGAGTTACTTCTGGTGGCTTTGCTGGCCTTACAGAGTACAATGACGYTGAAGTCTGCCTGGCAGCAGAGGAATCTCTGGAGAAAGATGCCTCCAGAACTCACCCAACTGCCCTTCATCGGGAATTACCTGCAGCTGGACACAAACCAGATGTATGACAGCCTCATGAAGGTGCCACCAGCCAGGGAGATGGGGGAAAAGGGGTGGGCATGGGGGCTTCCCATTTTCACTTGGGCTCTGTGGCACAGGATTGACCATGATGAGTCAGAATCTTAGACCAGGGGACATTTAAGGTACAGATGCCAATCCTAGTCARGAAAGACCAGACCTTGAGATTTCAGCCATCTGACTGTCAGAGCTTGGGAAAATGGATCCCTACCTCTGATATGAGGGAACCAGACCAATTCAGCTCGTGACTCTTCTAACCGTTGCCACCCACCCTCATTAGATGAGCAAGCACTACTGCCCCGTGTTCACCATCCACTTGGGGACTCACCAGGTCGTGGTATTGTGTGGATACAATGCAGTAAAGGAGGTGCTGGTGGATCAGGCTGAGGAGTTCAGTGGGCGAGGCCAGCAGGCCACCTTTGACCACCTCTTCAAAGGCTATGGTAAGGGGACAGCACATGGGGGAAACTTATGAGGTATGCATGGCGGCCTAAGATGTCCCTGCCACCCCTCACTTGCACTTTAAGCCTGTGGGAGTCCTTTGTCTGATCTCTCCACATCACTGTACATTGCTGCCCCTCCCTGTGCTGACCTCTGGGCTGTCTTAACCCTCTGTGTCCCAATMTCTCCCTCCCTCTGTCTTCCTGTTCTTTTATTAGATGTTTCCTCTTTCCATAAATCCATCCATCTCTTAGCACCACATGAGACCTCATTTGAATTCTACTCCTCAAACATAAAATGATCTTTTTATGTATTTTTCATCTTGAGCTTCTTGGTTTCACCATGAGTCTTTCTTCCTCTTCCTCCCGTTCTTTATCCTTTGTAAGAATCTTAGACAATGTCTGTCTGAAAGACTCCAAGCTATAGATTTCCTCTCACCTGATGCTCTCCCTGCTCTCTCCCTACTTTCCTCTATCCTCAAAGTCAGTCTAGAACACATGTCACTATTTGTATCCACCTCCAGGTCTCCCTGATCTCATCTCCCCATTTCTCTGCCCTCTCTGATTTCCAACCTCCCTCCTTCCCTTCATTAGTGCTTCTCTGTATCTCTGTACAGACGCCTGTCTGGCCCCTCCGAGTTCTCTCCTGTCTGACTTCAAGCTGCTCTCCTCTCCTGGATGTGTCTGACACAGACTCGAAGTTGGGAAGTCTTATATGTTCTCACTTTCGCTTTGCATCCATCTTTGTCCCACTGCCTTCTCAGGAGCTTCTCCGGGTTGGGCTGTGGCCTGCCCCAGCCTCTCTCTGACCTCTGTCCTACCCTGTGCTCACTTTCCCAGGTGTGGCATTCAGCAACTGGGAGCCTGCCAAGCCACTCAGGTGCTTCTGCATTGCCATGTTGCAGGACTTTGGTGTGAACAGGCCCAGAATTGAGGAGTGCATTCAGGAGAAGGCAGGCTTCCTCATCAAAGCCCTGAAGGACACACATGGTGAGAGGGGAATGCCAAAGGGCTCAGGAAGGAAAAGGAGAAGACAAGAGGCTAAGGATCTTGTTGTTGTGCTGCTGAACTGGGGCAAAGTTGGGCAAAGGCGCCTGTGCTCCCAACTCTGATGCCCGGAGTTTGGTGCATCACTGAAGTACCCTGCCTGAATTATCAGATGGGCATTGCACAATCCCACGCTCTCCTCTACCCCACCCCACATCACAGTCACCTTCATTGACCCTACATTCTACCTGAACAAAACAGCTGCCAACATCATTAGCTCTGTTAYCTTTGGGAACCACTTCAAATATGAAAACAAAGAATTCCTGTCAATCCTGCAGAAGATGAGGTGAATCTCAGATTTTGCAGTCTCCTCCAAGGGACAGGTGACCTATTCCAGTTTTGCCCTACAAAAACCTTACCAATGCCTTGTAACTGCACCCCCACGTGGTGACCAGTACCCCAGAATCAGACACTCTCCCAAAAAGCTTCCCTCAAAACCAGCTACCACTACTGGACAACTGAACACTTGCACCAGAACTCAGGACAAGTGTCTACTTCCCAGTCTCCAAGGACACCTGAATATATCAAAAGATACACCCAAAACACAGATTGCACCAAGATAAATGCCCTCCACTCAGCTCTCTCCTGGCCCGGTGTTCCCACACCAACCTATCTTAATCTCTAATGGATGCTACTCTCCTAGTCTTTCTGAACCTCTTTAACCTGAACAAGGGACCACCTCAGGCTCCTCCTAAACACATGAACACCTGGTGCTGCAAGATGCAGGACAACAAAATCATCTGACCTCTACACACCTGTCCCAGTCAAACTTACCAGAACATGTAGGCACGTGCTCCCCATTCAACCCCTCAAATACATGAACAGCCGCACAGACACTCCAACCAGGATAAGCAAATAAATAAACATGTGGACATGTTGCTCCCCAAACACCCAATAAGTGTGCTCCAACACAGCGCGCTCACATACCTTAAGGAGGTGCACCTTAGGGAGCCCCCTTGAACACGGAAACACCTGAACATGTGTGCCCCCACAGTAACACCTTTGATAGGTTCAGCCCCATATAAAGRGCCCAACACACGGTGTCCCAAACAAATTGAATATCTGAATACCTGCATGGGCACCCAAATACATCCTACCTGAATTCTTGGAACCTCACCCTTAAACCCTCATAGAAAATTACCTAAATGTGCCCATCTGGTCCCACCTAAATACAGAAACCCATGAGCAGGGGCCTCGATCCCAGTGCATTCCCTGTCCTCACATAGGTCCCACTCCCACTGGACCCCACCTGTGGACAGTTGTCATTCCTTTGCATCCCCTCTTCCCCCCTCCAGCTCTTTGACATGTTCTACTCGGTGATGAAGCACCTGCCAGGACCTCAGCAACAGGCCTTTAAGGAGCTGCAGGGCCTTGAGGACTTCATAGCCAAGAAGGTGGAGCAGAACCAGTGCACTCTGGACCCCAACTCCCCACGGGAATTCATGGACTCCTTTCTCATCCACATGCAGGAAGTACAGCCAGCACCCAGGGTGGGGAGGTCCAAAGCCAGGCAGCTAGAAATCAGGATAAGAAGGGGAGCAGAAGCCCATGCAAACTGGCCCATCAGAAAAATCTTCCCAGTTCGCAGTGTGAATAAACATCCACATCCCATCTACCGAGCCCTTACAAGGCAGGACATAGGTGAACAAACCATAATAGCAACMACCTCTACAGCACTACTCCATTCAGGTACTACCATGTGTTTTACTGTATTTACCTACTTAGCACCCACAACAGCTCTTGAACAAGGTTTGATTATGACCCCAGTTTTACCAATGGGGAAAGTTCATCCCAGAGAATATAAGTGGTCACACAACAGGCAAGCAATGGACCTGGCCCAAACTGTGTCCCCCTAACCCTAAAGCTTCTAATTTTACCCATGTCCTAACTTTTCTTTCCCCAGTTATCAGATATCCTGGGAGACCAGGCTTTACTAAGGGATATTGGGGGAGGAGGGGCTATACCAAGTTCGTGTCTGTCTCCCGTCTGTGAAGTGAGGAGATGGGACTTTTTAGAATCTGAAGTGCAAAGGATCAAGGAAGTGGATTCCTCTWCAGGAAGCTTCAAGGTGTTTCAGGGAGGAAATGGGATTCTGTCACTAGAATTCTTTGTCTCAGGAAATGTATCTCCCTCTCATTCACTCCAGGTGAGTATCTATAATTCTCTTTCTCACTCTCTCTCTATCCCTCTCTTTCTCTCAACACTCTACCATTGAAGAAGGGATAACTAATCTGATCATGAAAGCACAGAGAGTCAGCCAGTCAAGGAATAGAAGAGTGTGTCAGAGACAGCCAGCATCAGATGCTGGACAAAAGTCTAGAAATTGCAGAGTCCCTGGCAGATCCAGGTCCCTTCATCCCACCTTAGTTCTGGACCTAGGGGAGGTGAGTCCAAGGAAACACCCAGAACTTTCCCCAAGGAGGTGATAAACAGATTCTGACTTGAATCCCTTTCTCCCTGCAGGAAAAGAATAAGCCCCACACAGAGTTCCACATGGAGAATCTGGTGATGACCACGTTGAGCCTCTTCTTTTGGGGTGTGGAATCCACCAGCAGGGTCCTGTACTTCAGCTTCCTGGTGCTCACGAAGCACCCAGAGGTGAGGGTAAGGCTGGGTGAAAAATGAAGTGAGGTCATAGATCATCCAAACCCTTCTGATATGCTGCAGTAACCACCTCTCCCAGGTCCCTGGGCCCTCAGACATGTCCCACTGGGCAGATACAGGGGACATTAAGCCAGGTGGTATCTCACTACCTGTGACAATATTGGAATTATCTRAACTGATTTGTAAATGGCATCTTTACTAAGGTCACACAATGCCAAATGCACACCTCCCAGGGCCACCCCTTAAGACCCTGCCTTCTGATTCCCCTCTGATTCTGACATGAACAGATAACAAGGCTTTGGACAACAATATCTATGGCTGACATCTGTTTTGCACATTGTATTTGCATGTCATACATACGTGCATGTCGTGCATACGGTTTTACATATTTTAACTATCATCCCTTCTCTGAGGCCCGTGGATTCCTAAACACATTTCACCTTCTTTCCAAGCCAAGATCCATAAGGAGATTGACCAGGTGATTGGCAGCCCAGATTTGGGGATAGGACCAAGATGCCCTACACAGAGGCTGTGATTCACGAGATCCAAAGATCTGGTAACCTATGGGTGTAGCTCACAGGGTGACCAAGGACACCATATTTCGACACTTCCTCATTCCAAGGTTGCTGCTCTGTTCCCATCCCCCAGGAAACCTCCAAACTTCTACCTGGGAACCCAGAACACTGCCCCATTAGGAGCTTTCCAACTCCTCTCCCACTTTCTCAAGGAATTCCTCAATTACCACATCCCTCGGCCTTCCACCCAAACGCTCCTGCACCCCACGTCTCCTAAGGGTGGTCTACCCCGTGTTCTCAAAGTTCCTGTCTCAAGGTACATGAACCTCCACTTCCCCCAAACTCCTACCTTAAGAGACATGGGACACACAGGCTCGACCTTCCCTGAAGGTCCTGACTCAGAGACATCAACCTCATGTCCRCCAAAGCTCCTGCCACAGAACCCCAACTCCATCACCTCCACTTCCCTTCACCCCCACACTTTGATTCCCCTGCTCTCATCCCTAAACCCTCTGATAAAGTCCCCTTCCTCCCCCTGCCAAGGACACTGAAGTGTTCCCTATGCTGGGCTCCCTGCTCAATGACCCCAAGTTCTTCTCCACACCTGATGACTTCAACCCCCAGCACTTCCTGGATKACAAGCGACAGCTGAAGAAGAYTGATGCTGACGTGCCCTTTTCCATGGGTAAGAGACGGGGGGGCTCACACCCGCGTAGGCTCCCTCATCCCATCTCCTCTCCCAGTGCAGCATAGCATCTTCCTCCATCTGGGAAGAAACTACCCTCTAGTCAGACAGTTGCACTCCCCAGAACTCCCCAGCACCAAGTTTCTGCACCAAGACCAGAGGGAAGGGATGACAGACCCCTTTCAGATTGGGAAAATCAAGGCTGAGAGTGAATCAGAGTACTATCTAAGAACACTCCACAAAATCCCCAGTCTCTTAGAAAGGAGATGACAGTACAGCAGCCATCTCTGAGAATGCATTTGTGTGGAAGGAGCACCTCCACCTCCCATTGCTACAGACCAGCAAGATCACCCCACTTCATGTATGAGGGAAACTGAGGCTCAGACAGCATTAGAGCCCTTTCTGAAGGCCTCCCGGGCCACAGCACTGCAGTCTTTCCACCCTGGCAGAAAGCAGGGATCTGGTACTGGGGTGAGGTTGCAGAGAGYTGGCTTTACCTCGGCCCCTCCCTCCTCTCCTCTTCAGGAAAGCCGAACTGCTTGGGAGAAGGCCTGGCTAGAATGGAGCTCTTTCTCTTCCTCACCACCATCTTGCAGAACTTCTGCTTCAAGTCCCCACAGTCRCCCCAGGACATAGACATCTCTCCAAAATCCCTGAGCCTTACAAGGACTCTACCAGACTGCACCATGAGCTTCCTGCCACGCTGAACCAGGGCTAGGCCAGGTCATGGTGGAGGGGATAGGATGAAGGTTAGGGGAGGAGCCATGGATGGGGCCAATGGGAGGGGCAGGCTAAGACAACTGGTGATCAGGAAGGGGAAAGAAGAGGACCAATGGGTGGTGAAAGAAGAGAACAGACTACTCCCCTCGCTAGAGATACATCCTTAAAAGCTGGGATGAGAGGAAGAGAAACCTTGCACTGTGCTAGGAACCACACCAATAATAATAACATCTATGATTCATTAAGCAAGAATTCTACGTCAGCTCTGTGCTAAAATCATTCCACAATATCCTTGTGAAGGCTCATAAACCATGCAGAGGGGACTATGCTCTTTCCCAGTTTACAAGTGACATAGCTGAGGCTGAGACAGCATCACTGCCTGAGGCCTCGCAGAATATAGTTCCCAGCAGGTACTTGAACACAGGTCTTATGCCTGAAGTCCTAGAGTGAACTTAAAGCCACTGTTCCCCAAATAAAAAGCCATAGGGAAGAGTAGTATATTGTCACACAACAGAAGAGCCCTGGCCAGGGGTTGATCTAGAACACCTGTAGGCAGCTCAGCTGTCTCCCACGCTTACCCACACTGCTACCTCCTGAGCACACCTTGCACATTAAACCCTTGTGCCCTCAGGGTAAGGCGCTCTTTCTTATTGTTTGTAAGGAACTAGAATCAGGCCTCTACACCATGCATTCAAGGAAGAAAAATGCTTTTAGATGTGGCCAGGATAACTTTGGATCCACACATACCCATGAGTACGTGTGTGTTCATGCACAGATGTGAGTGCAAATGTATGACTGCATAATTTCTTCAAGATATGCAGGAACACATATTCTACAATGGTTTCTGGAAATGGGGCTCTATCTGGTGGTCCTGGGCTCAGCTGCAAGATTCAACCCAGTGTTTCCGAATCTCCAGCCTGCTGTCAAAAGAGTCACTGCAAATCCCTTTAGAAGTGGACAGTTGCCCAGTGCACAATCTGAACAGCTGGGAACTCTATGTATGGTAAGTTAAACACAACCAACAAATGCCCTAACACACACACACACACACACACACACACACACACACACACACAGAGACAAAGAACACTAAGCCTATTTTAACGACAATGAGACCAAGGAAAGGGAAATAAGTTCCCTCAACCCTACAACATTCATAACAAGCCATGATGGTCATGCCTGTCAATATCCACTGTCTATACTTTCCAACTTGGATTCCATCGATTTGCTGTTTTGTGATCAATGAGGTGGGGGAAAACATGAACCCCTATTGTCATGCCCTGTCGTCACACAGCATGCTGCCCAAGTGTCCATGTTCACATGGGCACCTTCTTCTGAGGAGGATTCCAGTCATCATACTGGATTACAGGCACGATCTATTTCAGAAAGACTGCATTTTTTCCATAGGCAATATGCTTCCTTTTGTTGTTCTAATAGTTATATGTGACAGTAGGACCATAGAAAGCATATCATCTGGATTTACATGATATACAGTTACACCAGTCATATAATCATATATGCATATAGGGTAATAATGTCAGATTCATTCTACTATCATTCCTTCCCCCACCCTCCCTTCACTCCCTTCTGTCTAAACCAAAGTACTTCTATTCTTCCCTAGCCACCCCCCGCCCATTGTGAATTAGCATCCACATATCAGAAAAACAATTCGGACTCTAGTTCTTTGGGATTGGCTTATTTCTCTTAGAATTATATTCTCTACCTCCATCTATTTATCAACAAATGCCATAAATTTTCTTCTTCATGGCTGAATAATATTCCATTGTGTGTATATATCACATTTCTTTATCCATTCATCTATTGAAGGGCACCTAGGTGGGTTTCATAGTTTAGCTACTGTGAATTGAGCTGCTAAGAACATTGATGTGGCTGCAACATATAGTATGCTGATTTTAAGACATTTGGGTATAAACCAGGGAGTGGGATAGTTGGGTCAAATGGTGGTTCCAATCCAAGTTTTCTGAGGAATCTCCATACTACCTTCCAGAGTAGTTGCACCAATTTGCAGTTCCACCATCAATGTATGAGTGTACCTTTTTCCCCACATCCTCACCAACACTTACTGTTGCTTGCATTCTTGATTGCCATTCTGATTGGAGTGAGATGAAACTCAGTGTAATTTTGATTTKCATTTCTCTAATCACTAGAGATACTGAACATTTTTTCATATATTTTTTGACCAATTGCATTTTTTCTTCTGYGAGTGTCTGTTCAGTTTGTTAGCCCATTTGTTGACTGGGTTATTTGTTTTTTGGTGTTCTTTATATATCCTGGAGATTRATGCTCTATCTGAAGTACAGGTGGTAAAGATTTTCTACCATTCTGTAGGCTCTATCTTCATGTTATTGATTGTTTCCTTTGCTGAGAAGAAGCTTTTTAGTTTGAATCCATCCCATTGATTAATTCTTGACTTTACTTTTTGCATTTTTGGATTATTGTTAAGGAAGTCTGATCCTAAGCCAACATAGAGATTCGGGCCTAGTTTGTTTGTTTTTTTTCTTTTCTAYTAGGTATAGTGTCTCTGTTATAGTGCCTAAGCCTTTGATCCACTTTGAGTTGCATTTCATGCATGGTGAGAGATAGGGATTTAATTTCATTTTGCTGCATATGGAATTCCAGTTTTCCCAGCACCATTTGTTGAAGAGGCTATCTTTTCTCCATGAATGTTTTTGGTGCCTTTGTCTAGCATGGGATAACTGAATTTATGTGGGTTTGTCTCTGTGTCTTCTAATCTGTACCATTGGTCTACATGTCTGTTTTGGTGCCAATACCATGCCATTTTTGTTACTATGACTCTGTAGTATAATTTAAGTTCTGATATTGTGATGCCACCTGCTTCACTCCTCTTGCTAAAGATTYCATTGGCTATTCTGGGTCTCTTAATTGTACAAATGAATTTCGTGACTGTTTTTTTTTTATTTCTATGAAGAGTCCCATTGGAATTTTAATAGGAAATGCATTAAATCTGTATAACAATTTGGGCATTATAGCCATTTTGACAATATTAATTCTACCTATCCAGCAGCATAGGAGAGCTTTCCATCTTCTAAGGTCTTTTTCAATTACTTTCTTTAGCATGCTGTAGTTTTCATTGTAGCAGTCTTTCACCTCTTTTTTTTAGATTGATTCCCAGATATTTTTTGAGGCTATTATGATGGGGTAGTTTTCCTAATTTCGGTTTCATTGGATTCATCATTGGTTTATAGGAGTACATTTGATTTATGGGGATTAATTTTATATACTGCTACTTTGCTGAATTCATTTATGGGTTCTAGAAGATCTGGTTGAATTATTTGGGTCTTCTAAATATAGAATCATGTCATTAGCAAATAGGGATAGTTTGAGTTCCTCTTTTCTTATTCATATCCCTTTTACTTTCTTCTAATTGCTCTGGCTAGAGTTTCAAGGATAATGTTGAATACAAGTGGTGAGAGGTGGCTGGGGATATAGCTCAGTTGGTAAAGTGCTTGCTTCACATGCTAAAGGCCTTGAGTTCAATCTCCAGCACCACAAAAAAAGAGAGAGAAAACACTCAAGTGGTGAAAGAAGCCATCTTGTCTTGCTCCAGTTTTTAGAGGGAATGATTTCAATTTTTCTCTGTTTAGAATAATGTTGGCCTTGGGTTTAGCAAATGTTGAGGTATATGCTCCTACTATCCCTATTTTTTCTAGTGTTTTGAACATAAAGGGGTGCTGTATTTTGTCAAATGCTTTTTCTGCATCTGTTGAGATAATCACATGATTCTTGTCTTTAAGTCTATTGATGCAATGAATTATGTTTATTGATTTCAGTATGTTCAACCAACCTTGCATCCCTGGGATGAACCCATTTGTGGTGCACTATTTTTTTAATTTTTTTCTATGCAATTTGCCAATTTTTTTAAGTTGTAGTTGACACAATACCTTTATTTCTTTATTTATATATGGTGCTGAGGATCGAACCCAGGGCCCTGCACATGCTAGGTGAGCTCTCTACCACTGAGCCACAACCCAAGCCCAATTTGCCAAATTTTATTGAGAATTTTTGCACCTATGTTCCTCATGGATATTGGTCTGAAGTTTCCTTTCCCTGATGTGTGTTTGTTTGGTTTTGATATCAGGGTGATACTAGCCTCGTAGAATGAGTTTGGAAGGGTTCTTTCCTTTTCTATTTCATGGAGTAATTTGAGGAGCATTGGTGTTAATTCTTTGAAGGTCTTGTAGAACTTGGCTGAGAATCTCTCTGGTCCTTGGTTTTTCTTGATTGGTAGGATTTTGATGGCATCTTCTATTTCATTGCTTGAAACTGATCTGTTAAAATTGTGTGTGTCTTCCTGATTCAGTTTGTGTAACTCATATGTCTCTAGAAATTTATCAATGTCTTCAGGATTTTCTTTTGGTGTGGGGGTAACCAGGAATTGAACTACTCAGAGGCACTTGACCACTGAGCCATATCCCCAGTGCTATTTTGTATTTATTTAGAGACAGTGTCTCACTGAGTTATTTAGCACCTTGCTTTTGCTGAGGCTGCCTGTGAACTCACGATCCTCCTATCTCAGCCTCCTGAGCCTTTGGAATTGCAGGCATGTGCCACTGCACCCTRCAAGATTTTCTATTTTATTGGAGTATAAATTTTCAAAATAGTTTCTAAGTATCTTCTATATTTCAGTAGTGTCTGTCATGATATTTCCTTTTTCATCATAAATTTTAATAATTTGAGTTTTCCCAAATTTCATTGATTTCATCTCTGATTTTAATGATTTYCTTTTTCYACTGCTTTTGGTGTTGATTTGTCCTTCTTTTTCTTGGGCTTTGAGATATAATATTAAGTCATTTACTTCTTGACTTTCTATTCTTTTAGTGAATGAGCTCAATTCAATGAACTTTACTAGCACTGTCTCCATAGTGTTCCAGAGATTTTGATCTGTTATATTGGTGTTCTCATGTACCTCTAAGTATTTTATTTCATCCCTGATTTCTTCTACTAT